ATATATGATACTAGTTATAATTAAAGTATGGAAAAAATCGAATGTGGGGACTAAAAAAGGCAATCATCGCAATATTTTAACAGTTCTAAAAGAAGAAAACTTTACCTGAGATAATGTGCTGGAATGTAGATGAGCACTCTGTATGTGAAGTTCTAGATTCTGTATGAGAACTGAGGGGCCAGTAACCCAACCTAGCCTTAAGCCGGAACTAAGAACCTTTGAGAACGAATCAAAATGAAGAACACGTCCTTCGGTATCTAAAGAAAGAAATGATGGCGGAGATGGACCATTGAAGTGAATAAAATAGTATGCATTGTCTTCTAAGATGATAATGTTATAATCGCAGCAAATTTTGTAGATCTCCTTACGGCGTTCCAGCGGAATTGTTGCACCACATGGGTTTGAACCTATAAAAACAACAAATATAAGGATTAAATGAAGATATTTTCGGAAAAATTTTTGAAATTTTATGACTATTAAATAGTGACTTCACAATTCTATAATTGATTAATTTTATCTACCTGTCGGGTTAAGATAGATCAATTTCGGCATTTTTAATTCCTTATCAGCGGTGCATCTTTTCTTCCAATCCTCGAGGGCGTTCTTGAGCATAATGGGGATTATCCCATTTTGATCTTGTGGCACTGGTATCAGAGATGCTTTAAATGGCTTCAACTGAAATAATGACATGCTAAAATGAGCTAACAAATACTTTTATCATCTTAAACAAACGTTTGTTATTGAGCCATGAGATTATGGTAGTTTTATAAACACGTCCGTATCCGTTCTTTTACAAAAGATTATTTATAGAAAGGTCAGTTTCACAATTTTATAGTGATAACAGCGATAATATTCGTCTTTATCGGGGTGACAAACAAATTAGGTGCTTCATTACCAAGATTAAGGTTGTATTAGCTTATTGTATTGTAACTGTCTATTACTTACAATTCCTTCTATGCCTGCGTAGAGTGGGTTTTGTACTAGAATAGGATCGCCTTCTTCTAACATCATTTCGATACATTTGCTAAGACCATCTTGAGATCCGTTTGTAACGATGAGTTCGCGAGCTTCCCAATTTGGCGGCTGATGGACGTAATAGGTAAATTCTGATAGTGTTTTAACTAATGGTGGATAACCCCTCGTTGGAAGGTACTGAAGGGCGCTGCCCAGTTGCGGTCCTCGAAGGGTAAAATTGGAACCATCTTTCAGTTGGACAGTAATTTTTTCAAAGGGAAACGTTGCTTCATTTGGCATACCTTCTGCTAGAGAAATTGCTTCTTTCGGGGCATTGTAGTTCAGTTTTGCTAAAAATAAAACTAGTTTTTACCTTTCGACGTTTTAACATTCTTCTTGATCGCAACTTTTATCAATTTGTATTTATCATGTCAACAGGTTTAACCGCCAAGATGGCATATATAATCTTTAATTTGTTTAATTTCAAAGTTTTCAATTATGAGTGTGCATGCTTCTATATATATATATATATAAAGGGGTTGGTGTAAATTCTATCCGAAATACACTAATGACTTTCTAGAGCTGGAGGTACGTAAATTCAGTTCCTTAACCCAGCGACATGGCTTAGAAGTAGAAGACTATTGCTTAACCACCGGTTTGATTCCGGGTCCCTCTGTCCTATCCCAAGTTTTTTTCTGTGGTTTCATTAATATTTCACAGATCTTCATTTCATCCGTAGATGACTTCCCGCACTATTACTATGTGGCTCAAAGACTTTAAAGATTTCCTTCCGATATATACCTATACTTCAAGGTGCAGAAGTGCTTTGTCGTGTGACCAAAGTTTACGTAGATGGTACATTTAAAAAGCTGTCCCAATATATTTACTTTTCATACATTGAAACAAGATTCATAAATATATACGGAGAAAACGAAAAACTAAAATTTACCTAAATATTAAAAGGATATTTACAATTTATCCCACTCGCCCGTTGCTTCGTAAGCGAAAATAATAAAAATTACAATTTGGACCCGAATTTGTAAAAATAAAATCCCAGCAGAAATAAATTTACTAGGTATTTTAGTTGATATTACAAATTTAATTTTAATAAGTAAGAAACTTGAAATAATTTTTAAAAAAGCATGTCAAAATTGAGATTATTACAAGTTACCTAATAAATTCTACTATTTCTACGGCAANTTACAAATTTAATTTTAATAATTAAAAAACTTGAAATAATAATTTTTAAAGAAATATGTCAAAATTGAGATCATTACAAGTTGCCCAATAATTTTCTACTATTTCTTAGGCAGATTCAGTCATTTACATCGAAAATTGTATTTTTTTGCATTGTTATTTAGTTTTCTCCATGTACCTCTCGTATTTTTCTTACTTCCTGTTGTTAAAACTGCAGAGACCTATATTAAATGCTTCAAATGTGTAGTCGTTGAATTTGCAAGACTATAGAATATCAGTTTTCACCACAAAATGTTTTTGTGGACTTTAAGAAAACAGTTCCTATTACAGTGAAATCTGTTGTAGTTAAATCACAGATAAAAAGTTGATGTTTTCATCTAAGCCAAGTCTGATATCGAAAAACTCGATCTCTTGATCTTTCCACCGAGTATAGAACAAAATCAGAGGTAGCAAGTTTTGTTCAATGCTTTTTAGACTCCCGTATGTTACACTTAACGATGTCGTTTATGTTTTTACTGACTGTTTAATGACACTTGTTCTAGAAGATCGATTAGCGAATGATTTTTTTAGACTAGAAAATTATATCTTTATATCTGAGGAGGCCGCTTTTCCACCGGAAATATGGGCAGAGTTTTCTTGTTTAACTTACTACTCTTTAAATCTAGACATGAAGGTCTACCTGAATCCAATTTCATCGACGGCTAATGAAGGAATTAAAATTACCAAAAAAACAGAAGCATGTAACTATTTCATTTTCTGTAGTCGATTAATTGTTGTACTTTAATTTGTATATTATTTTAATTAATTAATCAGAAACGCTTTAGAATTTCGTATTCAATTAGTAACTTCATGCCCCAAACAACCAGATTTTGTTTTCATTTGAATTCACGTTTGGTGATAAAAACTATATACCTAACTATTTAGGGTCGTTTTGAAAGGACACTGATATAAAGTTTTGTACTAATTACTGCAATTTTCTTTGTTTTTCTGATAGATGTTAATATAAATTGCAAAATACGTTATTTTATACAGCATTTATATTTAAAACATATATATCAAATATTGGAAGGTTANAAAAAAATAACTATTCCAGTAATTATTTTTTGAGGGTCCAACATATAGGTTTAGTTGAGTATGTAATACCGGTTTTTGTCGACGTTCCTGAACTTAAAACACAGAAGTTCTTCATGTATTAACATGATGAATTTATTCAGTATGTATGTAACCGTCGCTAAGATTGAAAATTTCTTTAAAATTGCATCATTCTCGCGATTTATTTTTGTGGCGCAAACTTGACTCTTAGCTAATATCAAATTTTTATATCACTATTTTGCATGAAATTTGTTGACTTTACTTCTGATAAAGACATTTTTTTATTTTGATTGATTTATCGGTTATTTGAGATCTATAGAATATTTACAACGTAAAAAAAATCTCAGCCATCATATACCTACCCTAATTAGTAACTTAGCTGCATTTACGATTAAATATTTAAAATAATCCCGTGTTTGGTTTAAAGATGGTCGATTGCTATCAATAAAAAAAGGAGGTCTCATAAAAGTTTTTCATAACAATGTATATGTCGATTCGTGGCTGCGGGGGATTTTATGAAATAAAACACGTTAAAACATTCATTTATTAATTAATTTTTGTTACAATTGTTATGCCCTAATGTAAGGATGCCTACGAAATTATGACAAATTCTTCATGTATCTGTATCAGGTCATCGAACTTTTCTCAAATAAAATTAACGACAGTAGATAAAGTTAGTACGTATCAGAATAAGGGTTCCCAGTACTGTACAACGTACTGATAATTAATATAAGTAATAGTTAATTTTTATTTACCCTAAATTCAGTTTGACGCATACGTACTTGGTAAGATTGTATTTTTACTTATGTTGTTATTTTACAGCTTTTTAATTCACCAACTAGGATCATTCAGATATACACATCTACAAACCCATTCATAAGTGCCTTATCGTTATCTTTAAACATTGCAATTTTCTACAAACGTTTATAAGAAATCAATCTTTCGAAATTGTTGCTTAACATCTACGTTAACTTATTTACCATAAAATTCGTTATTTTCTATCTGGAACTGATTGCGACATTTTAAAAGGAAAAATATGACAAAAACACGTTTATCTTAACTGTCCTTTTGAACTCATTATTTTCTCAAAATATCGTGTAACAGAAAAAGTAGTTAAAGAAATTTTACAAGAAAAAGGTAAAAAAGCTACTTCTTATTACATATTTAGACTTCTGAATTTGCACCGCGTCATGCTGCGTCTATTTCCAGCGTTTCGTCCTTTTTCACACGAGACATCCTCAAAGCTTTTCTGTTAGTGATGCATAATTTCAAACAAAAAACCTACAAGACTGAATCGGAAAAAGTTCTTCTACTTCAGAAACATGAAGATTTCTTGTATGATTCAGGACAAAATATCAGAGCTTCAGAAACCACTCGCGGAATTTTATAATTCAAATTTACTTAATAAATATCGGTGTTGAAGATAATTAGAAGCAGTAATTAGGTATATTTAAATTCGAAAAAAATAATTTATAAAAATAATAAGCAGGTACTTACTGAGCTCTCTTGTTATATTGGGTCGTCTTCTTCCAGAGAACGGTTTAATGAAATTTCTGTAATCCATTGTTGTCTCCATCTTATTATTGTTTTAGACCACAAGTTCTTAATACAAAATGTAAATAATATGTATTGACGAAATACTGGCAGTAACAGCAATATTGTAATTGATAATAACTAACAATTATTCCAGTTCCTCACGCGTCGAATTAAATATGAATGGTATATACAAGCCCGATGCCTGATTTTATAAGAAATGCCGGCAGTGGATGATGTAATAGTTAGGTCTTGAGTGTCTATACTATACAAACAAGAGTGTACATAGAACAACACACATAAAACTTTCTCATCAATAGCATGATGAAATTATCGCTTCAACTAAATAAGATTCGGCGATTTTTGCGTTGGCGCGCGCTTTGGCGAATGTCATTGCCACCTGTGTTTTGATACATTATCAATACTATCAAGAACTTAAAGCAAAAAACACGTATGTATATATATACACATGCAATATACAATTATAACGTTTTTAAAAATCGTAAATTTTATTCTTTTCATTCAATTCTTCAAATTAAAATAAATTCATAAAAAAAAGCTAATTCTAATGCATAATTTAGTAACATGACTACCTAACGATATATTGTATTTTATACGTAAAGTTTTTGTAGCGTAACATAATTGCTATCAGAAAATCGCTTCAAATCGACAAAATTTCAAGTTGTAATTTTTACTTAATTATTATCTTACTTCCTTTAGACATTTTCTAAAATATATAAGTATCAGAGGTGCTTATCTACATTTCTAAATAGTTTTGTAAATTTAAGTAAACGAACGAATTAATTTTATATAGAGAAATTCTGAATGTTGAATTGTAACGATAAGACAATTTTAACAAAGGTGAAACTCAATATACCACAAAATTTGGGCATTCGACAAAAATTTTAATATTATTTGTGAAGTAAGTAAACGAATAAATAATCACATTTGTACCGCCTTTATATCACTTATACTGAAATTCTTATTTTATTACATAAATGCAGTAACTTGTAGCACGCTTAATATTTTATTAATTGCTCTTCAATTGTAATATGAGTTAAGTACTTATTTTCAGCCTTGACTTCACCGTATATATTACAATTTAAGAATGTAGAAAATTTACCTTAAAAATAATATTATTTTAAAAAAATAACTATTCCAGTAATTATTTTTTGAGGGTCCAACATATAGGTTTAGTTGAGTATGTAATACCGGTTTTTGTCGACGTTCCTGAACTTAAAACACAGAAGTTCTTCATGTATTAACATGATGAATTTATTCAGTATGTATGTAACCGTCGCTAAGATTGAAAATTTCTTTAAAATTGCATCATTCTCGCGATTTATTTTTGTGGCGCAAACTTGACTCTTAGCTAATATCAAATTTTTATATCACTATTTTGCATGAAATTTGTTGACTTTACTTCTGATAAAGACATTTTTTTATTTTGATTGATTTATCGGTTATTTGAGATCTATAGAATATTTACAACGTAAAAAAAATCTCAGCCATCATATACCTACCCTAATTAGTAACTTAGCTGCATTTACGATTAAATATTTAAAATAATCCCGTGTTTGGTTTAAAGATGGTCGATTGCTATCAATAAAAAAAGGAGGTCTCATAAAAGTTTTTCATAACAATGTATATGTCGATTCGTGGCTGCGGGGGATTTTATGAAATAAAACACGTTAAAACATTCATTTATTAATTAATTTTTGTTACAATTGTTATGCCCTAATGTAAGGATGCCTACGAAATTATGACAAATTCTTCATGTATCTGTATCAGGTCATCGAACTTTTCTCAAATAAAATTAACGACAGTAGATAAAGTTAGTACGTATCAGAATAAGGGTTCCCAGTACTGTACAACGTACTGATAATTAATATAAGTAATAGTTAATTTTTATTTACCCTAAATTCAGTTTGACGCATACGTACTTGGTAAGATTGTATTTTTACTTATGTTGTTATTTTACAGCTTTTTAATTCACCAACTAGGATCATTCAGATATACACATCTACAAACCCATTCATAAGTGCCTTATCGTTATCTTTCTATGCTTACGTAAACAATAATTGTATGAAAACAAAACCTAACATGCTAACGTTGCCTACAACTTTTTGATTTTATTTTTTTTTTAATATAATGTCGGTGTGGAACATACGTCAGTATTTAACGGGTATTTTACATTACATCATTGTGCATTGCTTGCATTATAGCAGATCACATATTCAACTTCCATTTAATGTGATTTGGGACGTTAGTGAGGGTGGTATTTACTGAAAACCTCGCTAAAACAAAAACATGAACCCTGCAACTACTTACAGTACGCTAACCGTAGTAGTTTTGTTTACCCTTTTATTTAGTATCCTACAAAATCACTATCCGGTGTATCTCTACTCTTTAGTTTCATAAATGCTTAGTGTTCGGTAGGATTTTATCTTTTTCTATATATTATTATTTAACTCATCAATGTAGTAGTAAGTAAAATTGAACAAATATTCCGACTTTTTCCTGTTTCATTTTTGAAGCAAACCGAAATACGTTCTTTAAGCCAAACAAAATAACATTTTTTACCTGATTTTATGACCATTGGAACCCTCAGGCTTGAATACGTATGTATTCTTAACGACAAAGATTCTAAGAATTTTACCCCCATTAGAAATGTTCATCGTCATACCAAAGGAGAAAGTCGGAGAAGTTTTTACCAGTTAGTATTAGTAGTAGTAGAGTTACCAAATAAACCAAACCAAACCAAAGACAGTACCAACCAACCAACCAACCAACCATTTGTTTTACCGCTAAATTCATCGTCTGTATATATTTTATTAATTGATTATCTTTAATTAGACATATCACATTTGGAAATTATTGAAGTGATCCAATTTCCCATTAAGTTTACACTTTTAATAATTTACGGAAAACCACCTAGGTACATTAAAGCAATTTCGTGATACGTTATTGAATATGTTGTCTAAATTACTTCCTAAAAATATTAAATAATAATTGATCATACGAAGTATTTGTCAACCTAATTAGTATTGTGAATAATTTAGTGTCAATTTGCTTCATTCTCTAACTTATTTCGATCTATTTTCATGCAATTTCATGGGGAAGTAGAATACTCCGATTTAATATGTTTCAATAAAACAATTATTTTGTTATTTCTAAAAAATAAGTGTTTATAATAATTTTCGTGATAAGTTATTACGTTAATGCTAGTGCATTAAAGTTGAAAAGTTCAATTTTTCGCAACACTCCTTAATTGTGTCTGTTTCTTAATAAACAGAAAATATTTCAAAACCTTTAAATAAAAAGTTGAACGAATTTGAGGAATTTTTATGAGATGCGATTAAAATAATTTTAGTAAGATATGATGGCTGGAAAATGCGATGTGTTGTGTAAATGAGATAAGGAAAAGGAAATGTACCTAATAACTGGCTTCCGTACAGTTATCAGGTTATCGGAATTTGTTTTATAAAATTTTTGTTATAATCTTAAAGATGTACCCTAAACGACCATTTCTTAATGGCCCCAGTATATATACCTATGTAATAATTTAACAAAAACTGTAATACACTCGAATTTCTTTCAATACTTTTTTCAAATTAAATTAAATCAACAGTTGATAAACGTGGCAAATTAATGTCACTTTGAGAGAACGAAGGCTTTTTAATACATATACATAATCTTTCTCTAAAATTGTTAAAAATTAAAAATCCTTTCATTTCGGCCCAATAAAAAAACCTTTGCAAAAAATCGAGTGTACAACCATGTAGTCAAAAAAGTTAAATAATTAAATTTTAATTACTAAATTATGACAAAAGTACACTTCTTGCATATTTTCTGCAAGTACAGATGATAACGAATCAATAATAATTAGCATTTGGTAGCATTACAAAATTGATCATTTTTTTATTAACAAATAAGTTGTTGTTCAGCTATTTATCCAATCAAGATAAAATTTTAGCAAGATCAATAACCTAAAAGAAAGTCTCCTTTTCCCAATCTTTCAGTGCAATTAATAGCCGGACTTCTATCTTAAAAGAGTGAACTCCAAAGAAATCACTTTTTTTCGATAAATGTTCATTTATTGAAGAAAATTTATCACTTTGAAAAACGTTCTTATTTAGCTTTTTTCGATTAAATCATTAGAAAACAGTTGTAGAAGAAGAACGAAAAAAATATCGAGAAAACGACCTTAAATGCTTGCGTACAAGCTTATTAATGATGTACGTAATTTTTTACTATTTTATATGCAAAAATTAGCTCTATTCCAATCTTTTCCACCCAGTAGGTAGTCTAATTTGCCTAGACTATTGAATACTTCCGAATTTGCGAGAGGCACTTTTTGTTACTTATTCTATAGGGTTGTTCAGAAAGTCATTTCGTTTTTTTTGTGGACAGTTTTCGTATAATAAACAAATACTTTATTAAATTATATATTAACCGTTGTGGTCCAACACCTTTTGCCATCTTTCTGATAGTAGCATAATTCCACGCTCATAAAATTTTTGGTCTTTACTGGCAAAAAACTGATCGAGGAGATTTTTGACCTCCTCATTTGAGGTGAAGGTTTTACCGTCTAAAAAATTTTGGAGTGACCGGAACAAATATTAATCCGATGGTGCCAGGTCTGGAGAATATGGTGGGTGTAGCATTGTATTCCATTCAAGCTGTAAAAGCTTTTGGCGAGTGACCAAACTTGGGTGAGGTCTCGCGTTGTCTTGGTGAAACACTACACCTTTCCTGTTGATTAGTTCTGACCTTTTCTGTTGAAGTGCATCATTCAGTTTGTCCAGCTGATGACAGTAGACTTCCGAATTAATCGTTGTGTTATCCGGTAAAAGCTCAAAAAGAACGATTCCTTTAAAATCCCACCAAACAGATAGCATCACCTTTTTTTGGTGAATATCGGCTTTGGAAATGGTTTGAGCCGGTTCATCTTTTTTGCTCCATGACCTCTTGCGTTTGACGTTGTTGTATAGAATCCACTTTTCGTCCCCAGTGATGATGCGCTTCAGAAACGGATCATTTTCGTGACGTTTGAGAAGCGAATCGCAGACGTCAATGCGGCGACACAGATTTCTCTCTGTGAGAACATGGGCATCCCATAGATCGAGCTTCGAGGATAATCCCAGGCCTTTCAAGTGGTCATAAACTGTTGAATTTGATAAATTTAACCTCAATC